TGATGAGTAATTGTATTATTGTCATGAGATGATAATTTTCTTCAAAGTAACAAAATATATGAGAAACTTACGAGTGGAATTTATAAATTTGTTTTAAAATATTGTGTCCTGATAATATATACATATATATGTACACAGATTTATATATATATATATGTATATATATAAATATTCCTGATCCAAATAATACATACAATAAAGTTTCATATTTTAACAAGTTAAAAACATTACCAACAGAGATGGTAGGGATTTTTTTCTTGATGAATTAGAAATATAACCATGAATGAGATAATTTACAAATGAAGGTCAAAATCCAAAATTTGTGAATTGCCTCTTAAACCAAATAATGCTGTTCCTTTCTTACGGCACAGTATTTTATTAGCAGAGGTTTTTTGGAAATTGCATGGTGCATACTCATACAATGACTCAAAATGTAGCTTGGCCTGCAATTTTCTTTTGGGGAACAGAGTACGCTAATACAAATCCATTGTGAAAAAGCAGATAACATGTGTGCACTTTCTGAAATGATTTTGACTTCATTCTTTCGATTTTATGTAGTTCTAAGACAATGTTCATATGTATTTGCTCTTTGGTTGGCACAGCATTTTAAAACATGAATATCTTCAGAAAAAGTGCATGTTTTCTTTTGGTTTATAAAGATTTCAGTGGTTTAAATGCTCAAAACTTTCTTTAGTGTTTTATAATAGAGCAACAGTGTAGTTTATCACCGTGCTAACTATAGGAATTCCTATGTGTACACTATGCATATGGAAAAAAAATAGACATTAGTTTGGATTCTGAAATTAATCATTGGCAACTAGAACCTATGCCTTTCCACTCCGTTATCTTATATCTTCTATCTTTGAATTCAGTATTTTTCCAGAATTCACATAAATACTTTTCATTTAAACTAATTTCAGTTAGCATAATAAAATACGGAAAACATCACCCACTTAAAACAACTTAAATTTCATGTACTTTGTCACTGTAAATAAACAAGGTAAACATTGACATGACTTCAAATTATTCTTGGGTTGAAAAAAAAAATCTGCAGTTCAAAATAAATTCCGCCTTTGGTCAACATTTTGGATGCAATTCAAAGTTTCTCATAAAATAAACATATTTTAAAGAGTGTTTTGAATTTCACTGCATAATTTCTAGACAACAGAAATGACAGTGGTATCTCAAAGTTTATTACATGTCAGATCAATAGCCTTTATGTGGGCCTGACACAACCATGGTGGGGTGTAGTGCCTTCCTTTACTTAACCCTTACTACTGTGACAGGAGGGAAAAGTTCCCCAAGCAGTCCATGGGGAAATTTTCTCACAAAGTGAAACTTTTCATGTTTGCTTAATAATAAAAGTGTTCTCTTCTGATAAAGGGGAAAGTGAGCTGAATTTTTCATCAAGAAAGCAAAATATTCATTAATGTCATCTTCATGAGAGGTTTTCAGCCAAAGAGAGAAAAGTTTTACATTCTGCATAATAACAAATTGTTCTGAAGAATAAGCTTAAAATGAAAATGCCCCATCACAACAGATTGTAAATTTTTTTCTGCTGCTTTTAAAAATGTCTCGATCATTTCTACGGCTTCATGCTGAAGTTAAGTATTTGCTATGTTATTTAAACATTTTTGAAAAATGAGCATTCTGAGGCTTTGCAGCATTATTAAGAAAAGCTGTCCATGCTTTACCATGTTGTTACATGTGTTTATCTGCTGATTATAAAATGTGTTAAACAGTATTTTAAAAACAACCAAAAGAATGCAGAGCTGCGCTTTGATTAATTCAGTGAACAAAGCATATGCTCTTGGTTCTGTTCTATGAAATTCATATATGATCAATAAAATCTTTCAAAAGAGCAACTCTGGCTTTTAGAATTGTACTGCCGACCATGTTATTTTGTCCCACTTAACTCTGGGCTCGTACTATTAGGCAAACAAAACCACTTTCTGGCTATGATGATAATTTTTTTAACATTTTCATCCTCTTCCTAAATTTTCTTTAGGTTGGAAGCTGTGTATTGTGGCTGTTACCCAGTTTGTCCCAAAGATTTGGTTTATCCCGAAATATTTCCAGGTAGTTGCATTAATGTGCTTTTGTCTTTGTTGAGATTAAATACATGATTCCTGCTAAATTAGAAAGTTTGAAAATAAACTTAGGCAGGAGCAATTGTTTATTTGGCAAGTCAACATGTTAGTGTTAAGGAAAATTTTATGTGTTTTAATACATTAGAGTAAGCTTATATTTACCATCTGTTCTTTTAAGATAACAAAAAAGCAAGTTTTCAAATAGCATTCTTCATTGTTAGCATACACATCCCATAATGATGGATTTTTATAAGCAGGTCAGTGTTGCTGCAATTGCTTACAGATTTTTTTTAATGATATACACAGAGAAAAACCAAGGACTGAAAGTCACACCAAATTATTTAAACAATTGACTAGTTAATAATATGCAACTGTTGTACAGGGTACATACGGCTATAATACTAGGTCTTTGAAAAAAAAATTCTCATCACTAAATATATCACATATGCATTGTGTTACATTAGAATAATGTATTTTAATCACCCAAAGGAGATGTCTAAACAGCACAACTACACAGTCTTATTTAGCATTAAACATCCTTGTGAGCTGAGGTAACCTTATAAAATCATGCTTAAATAATGTAAAACATGAGGCGGCACAGAGCAATATGCATTTTTAATTAGTAAAGTGACTAATATCGAGTGTGTGCTTTGAGGTTTTTGTTTCATTAAAAATGTATCTGTTTTTCCTGCAGCTGAATATCTGTATTCTACACCTGAACAGCTTTCCAAAAGGCTCCAGAATTTCTGCAGGAGACCAGATATTGTCAGAAAACATCTCTATAAGGTAGTTACTCAGAAGAGATTTACATGGTATAAATGCTATATTGAAGTACAAAGAAAAATCTTTAGGAAAAAAACATTTAATTAACATACTAATGTTTAAAGGAAACATGCTAGGGAGGGATATTAGTTGTTACACTAACAAGGATTAATTAAACTGGATGCCAGTTATATTAACCTAGGTCTTATGAAATACGTGCACTTAATGCATGGTACATGCTTTTTTAAATTTATTGTTTTCTAAGATTACTGTCCTTTACATGTAGCCCCATGAGGCTTATAAAATGAACCTGGATTAATGTTTAAAAGGAAGTAAAGGAAAGATTCTACAATTATACTAATGAGCATAAGCCTTTCTTCCCATCATAATGAAATCTTCAGCCCTCAAAAATTCAGGTGAATGATGTTAGTGAAGTTCAGTGTGCATTTCTGAACTACTTTAAAGATGACTTTCAAAAGCCGAATATGTCTCTTGTCCAGTTTAATCAGATAACGGAAAAATCTTCGGTTTGTTTAGAATTAAGACTGCCGGTTTCATCCGAATGGCAAAGGCAAAGGCAAGTAGTATAAATAGCATCATCATTCACTGCTTCATTCATTATCTTATTCCTTCATTTGAATCAAGAATTTTACATTGTTGAAATAACAGCACAAAAAAGCCCTACTAAAAGTCCAAGTAATTGAACTAGGATAAATCTGCTTTATGAGTTTCGAAGGTGGCTCTAGGCCATGAGTAATATACCTTTTTATATTCTTTGAATGTAGCATCTTCATTTTACATAAATTCAGTATAGTTTACAATCTAGCACTTTTATAATCCAGCATATTTTAATTTTCCCATGTTAATGTACAACCTTCTACATGAAATACAGTTCTCTGCCTTTTTTCTCTTCTTTCCCTTTTCAAGTCCTAAAATACATATTTACGTAGTGATACATCAAAACATGACTTTGTTTCTGCAGGAAACAGTTAAACTTCAAGAAAAAGGGAGAGAACCAAAAATGCAATTTAACACCCAATTTCAAGCTCATTATCTTTCATTGTCTATTAACTTGGCAATGGTTCAGAAGGTAGCTCATAATAGTTTAAAATGCTGACTGAACAGTTCCAGGCTGCAGTATTACTCCTTGAGTCAATACCACTGTGTTGTGTACATGGGAAGCGTCACAGAGAAACTGTCCCCCAAGATTGACCTTCAGGTTTCCTAATCTTAAAAGTTCAGTAGCAGTGTTGATTGTATAAAATATTAAATTGCCCCCCACGTGATAATCTGTCAAAATATGCAGATTATGAAAATTGAGGAAATAGAATATTAGTACAAGTGGATCCATTTTCTGCATGTGACACTAAGCTACTTTCCATAATTTCATAGTCACATTATCGTCTTTTCCCATTCAGGTGAATTTTTGGTGAAATATATTTGCAGCTCTTAATGTTATACCCCTGGTATTCTGCATCTGCAAATTTTTAACCATTTCAAAAGTTACTGCAACAAGTTGTCTCCAGTAAGAAAAGAAAGCAGATCTCTAGTTGAAATATTTAATGGAGCTACTGCCATAACATAGTTATAATTATCTATTTTACAAACAATTCCTGGAAAAATTCTGAAAGAATGTCAGCTTAGTGGTATGCTGTTAATATACCAAATTGTTCCTTGTACATCTTAAAAGACACCCTCTGTCTTAAATGTTATTTCATTGAACCATTGCATGTTAATATTTATAAATATTTTTATTTGAGTATCATAACAGGTTCCATCTCAAAGTTATATAAATTAATAATTCATGTATAAGCATTTATAAAAGTTTACATGTATAATTCATTTTAAGTATTTTCTATCATTGAGTTTTTTCTTATAAACTGTAATATGCTTTCACATACATCCTCATTTGCACATCTCAGTGATATTACAATTAAAAATTAAACTCAAAAATTAATAAATTTCCAAAAATTGGAAGTAATGAAAAATATATATGACTCAAATTATTAGGAAAACCTGACAGAGTATAAGGCATTGAGTTACAATTGTGGGCAGGACCACAGATTTAGTTTGTTGTAATAGGTTTTATAGTCAAAACAAATAAAGAATGCCTTCTAAACCTTTATAATTGAAATATAATAAGTGGTGATATTTTTTCACCTTATATTTTAAAAACAAACATTTCCAGGTAAAATTTGTTTTCAGTGAATACCAGAGAATTAGTTCCTCCAAGGCAGCATTTTTTAATCTACTTTTCTCATGCAATGGAAGAGAATCTTTCATATTTACTGTGAAGAGAATGTTGGGGTTTATTTTTAGACTTATTCTATTGGACAGTACTGGTTTGCTTTTATAAAACATATGCTTCTAAGATCTACAAGGATAGAATGTCACTGAATTCCTTAATTTGTTCCTTTTACATTTTTACACCTTACTCTTTTTTTGTTAGAAGTTTACATTTTAAGATCATTTCAATTTCTTATCATATAGAGTTCACTTTAGGATAGAATTTTTCATATGGATTCACACTTAGAAATTTAATGACTAGAATAAGGCTACTAACACTTGGCTTACTTCTCACATGAGACATTATACTTTCAATATGAGTGAGAGTTTGGGGGCTATAACTTGAAGCAGGATTTGAAACAGCATGTTAGGAACTCAAAAGCAGAAAACAGAATTTACTTTTTCTCTTAAAGTGGCTTCTGCTACAGCACACCATGTCTGTGGCTTCTCACCTGAAACGGTTTTAGGTCTGAAAGGTTTATGTTCCTCACATGCGTGAACATACACGCTCTCTCTTTGTCTCTTTCACAGATTTTTCGTAGCATCTTCAGGGAAATCCACTGCATGCAAAAATTAAATGTGTGTTAGTAATTTTAAAAATAGAAGATGATTTTGTTAATTTTTTAAAAAATCTAAAATGACTTCTTTAAGAGTTCACAGCCACAGTTGAGTAATTGGCTGTGATTTCTTGCACTGTCAGGACACATCTTCTTGTAAGTAAGCAGATGGCTTGACCACATAGTTGGGACACAGAAAAAATCTGTGTGACTGCATCCACAATAGTGAGCTCTTTGGTGACTCCTGAACATAATTGGAATACAGGTTTCTAGAAGTAACCATAAAATAATCAGCCAAGTATTGACATCTTACACCAGCAATAATTTTCCCTTTCCAGCTCAAGCAAATCTAGTTCATGAAATGAAAATTTTGATCTCACTTTTACTGTGTGAATTTACTTACCAAAAGTTTCCAACAACTATTTGATATTAGTACTCCATGCTTTTAGAGGGCCTTTCTTCATTACATTTGAAAATCCTTTAGGAAAAAAAAATGTATGGGTAGTCCCTTGTTAATAGTGTTGAAAACAGGACAAGAATATAAACGGGGCAGTTGTATAAGGTTGACACTGCCTGGACTAACAGAAAAGATCCTTCCCATCCTTTTTCTCATTTACTTTCATTTACACATGGAGCCACAGTCTATGTGAAAGACGAGATGGTATTCTTTCTCTTGGCTTTCAATGTGACTTGGAGCTTCTTAAGGTTTTTTCAGATGATAGCTGCTGACTCTTATTTTGTACTTTGCAAATTCCTCAACATTCAAGGCACTTCATAACCTGCTGTTATTTGGAGGAGAAAAGAATTTTTAGATTTCTGTCTAAAACTAATTCCAAACAATGATTAAGCTTACAATTCCAACTCAATGCCCAGAAAAGCCATTTGTGGTTGTTTTAATTATGTTAGGCTATATCTGCTGGAACCACAGCCAACCCACTTGAAGTTTCCTTCAAGAGTCTGGTCAAATTATAGCCCCCTTTTAAATTCATCTTATACTCTCCTTAGATGCGAAGAAGGTGTTGCTCATTGGTGTTAACTCCCCTCCCAAGTCCTTACTTTTTCCTTAAAAATGAAAACTTAAATCCTTATAACCATTTTAAAAAGTCTAAAATCTCTCAACTGCACCAGCACAATTACAATCAAATTCTCAATGTTAATCAATCTCTCTCTCTCTCTCTCTCTCTCTCTGTTTCCACTCTTCCCTCTCTTCTGCTTCTCTTCTTTTCTCCCTTCCTTCCTCACTTCCTCCCATAATTTGGTTTGCTTTTCCCTTAATTTGTCTAAATAAAATAAAAGCAAAAATTCCTTTAGCACAATAGATATGCTTTGGCTGATTAAGATCTGTTGGAGGATTTGGCTTCTCATCTTTCTCCGCTACTCATTTGCAGCCTGGCTGTAGGTGATTTTCTTAGGCTCTCTGTGATTCATCCTTAAACCTGGAAGAATTTTTTTCTTTAATCTTCATAGCATTTCCATCCTGAGGTCCTGCTATAATGTAATAATGAATATGAACCCATTTGTAAACATGAAGTGCTTTATGAATTCCACATAGTAGTAATGGCATTTATCTTGTGTCTTCCCCACTTAATAGTAAAATTCACATTAGCAAAACATGTATGAAGAGTGTTGCATATCTTGTGTTTATAAAAGTTAAAAGTTGGATGATAAACTTCTAATAGCTGTCAGCTGTAACATAAACCAGGAAGTCTGTGTGGGGCAGAATGTACCCATTTGCAAAAAAAAAAAAAAAGAACAAACCAGTAGCTTTCTCCCATGGTTAGAAATAGAGTGACACTTTAAACCAATCAGAAACTGGGATTTCCCGAAGTGCTGAAACTCGAGAACCATTTACTTGGTGGCTTTTTGTAATATAATTGACGCAAGTGATGCAGATTTGCAATATGAATTTTCAACATTCTTTGGTCTTTCAGTGCTTAATGTTTCTTTCTCATCTCTCCCTCCCCCTTGTTGCAGGGTGAAATGGCTCCATTTTCCTGGGCAGCCCTGCATGGTAAATTCAGGTCTCTGCTTACAACAGAACCTAGGGAAGATTTGTGACAGATGGGGCTAAGTCACAAACTTGCAGCCTAAGGCAGAATCTGAAGAACTTTCCAGAGTGTGCCCATATTTACCTGATCAGAGAGAAAAGAAAATCTGCAGAGGAAGCTGAGCCTGGCTGCTTGTCATAGCTGACACGGAGCCATCTGCCACAAACCTGTGGCAGCTTCAGATCTCCAATCCCTGCCACCACCCCAACCCAAATTAAATACAGATTCCTAGAGACGCTATGATGGTTACACATGTCCTCGGCATCACATGTAGGAGACTGTTCAAAAAAAAATATGTGGCCTGTTGTATAACCGCACTCATGTATCCCATATGTGGTGCCACATTGAATTTCCGGTTGAATCCGTTTTTATCCTTTGTACTGGATGACATGGTGCCTGAATTCTTTCTTTTCGCCGACACGATGGCAGCCAAACTGCAGCTTCAAACACTCACACTTGGCTGGGTTTCTACCTAGGTTGCCAGGTTATCATCGGAGCCCTCTTGTGTCCTCAGAGGGCCACCGGGCCTGGAAGGAGGATCAGAATGCTGCCGGACTAATTGGGCAGCCATCTCGGAATGGTTTGTGGGCAAAGGGCTGCTTTAGCACTTTTCTTTTAGCAAATTAATGACTCTCCGGCACAGGGGTTTTTAAGCGAAGGTATTAATAAGGGGTCTGGCAGGTATTCCCATGATTCACAGAGTTACATTTGCATTTAATTAATCTCAAAGAAAGTTGCAAGATAAACAGCTGTAATTCGGACAAACATGGCAAATACAGTAAGAGGGGCCATCCCGCCCATAAAATGAACACTGAGGTAATTGTTTTAATTTTTTTTGAGGCATTAAAAGTAGAGAATTCAAAATACTTCTCACAAAACTAGTAATTTTGATTAAAAAAAAATTCTCAAAAGTGTTTGTATCCAGCTTGAAATATGATCTTTTCCAGATAAATCACTTAAATTCCAATAGTCAAGCTGCTATTTTTGTTGATTTAAAGATGTTTTGAATGGGTATATGGCAAAATAAATTTTTAATAAACTGTCCACTGCAGTGTTTAATTAGCATATTCAGTTAGGTAGAAGTGTGTACATCTATCTGTATGTTTCTCGCTGAGGGTTTTCTTTGTGTCAGAGACAACGAATACAATTGTTTCCTTTCCGGATGAACAAGGATCTGTTTTGCAAATGTTTGTAAGATATTATGACATTTCCAAGATTTTCTTTGCATTCTGGAAAGCAGGAGGTAAACATTTGTAGTCATTAAGGTAAAGTCTGTTGATAAACCGTCTTCTGTTTACTGACAGGTAAATTGTAACTTTCTTAGCTTTTGAAATGAATAACTTCTATACACTGCAGAGTGAGGAGCAGTAGGGAAAGGTGGCTAGCCAAGGCCCAAGCCTGGCTCTCTGGCTTCTACAAGGATTGAGTGATCTAGCAGACATCCCCACGTTGAGTGAACAATGTCTCAGATATCCAGTAGGGCCCATTTCACAGGTAGCAAAATCGAAAGCAGGCACAAGGTCAAGGTTAGAGAGCCATGCACAGCCCTAGGGATAGGGGCAGTCTTGCAGATCACAAGAGGCAGTTCAGAGTCCATGAGGCCTGGGACTCTGAAGATAGAAAGTGTAAGAAGTGGAAACAACAAGCTCTACCTTGGAACAGAAACTCCTCTCCCCAGCCAGCCTGAGATCCGTCACATAGGATGGGCCACCACAGCACTGGCTTCGGCTCAAGCCTCTGAACAAACTTCTCCCTCACCCATAGAACAAAGGGCTCGGGAACGCTTATGGAAGCGCCTGCCAGTCAACTGAAGCCTGAGGAACTTGGCTTCTAGCAGAGGTGCTCCTTTTGAGAGCAAAACCAAAGATATGACTGTAAACAAGAAGTTCTCAGGCACTTCTTCTGGGGCAGGGTTACACTTCATGCCCTCTGCTGAGGTGGGTCAGACTAGTCAATTTGCTTCAGTCACCGAGGTACAATGTCACGGATGATGTCTTCTCAAGATAATATTACAATCTGACAGCAGAGATTCCTTTCCAAGGTTTTCTGTCCTGAAAACAGTGGGCTCACGTTTCATAGTGCATAGCATCTTTTTTTTTTTTTTTTTTGTACAGGCAGACTTAGTGAGAGAGAGAGAGAGACAGAGAGAAAGGTCTTCCTTCTGTTGGTTCACCCCCAAATGGCCGCTACGGCCAGCGCTGCGCCAGTCCGAAGCCAGGAGCCAGGTGCTTCCTCCTGGTCTCCCATGCGGGTGCAGGGGCCCAAGCACTTGAGCCATCCTTCACTGCCTTCCCGGGCCACAGCAGAGAGCTGGACTGGAAGAGGAGCAACCAGGACAGAATCCAGCGCCCCAACTGGGACTAGAACCCAGGATACTGGCACCGCAGGCAGAGGATTAGCCAAGTGAGCCGCGGCACTGGCCAATAGTGCATAGCATCTTACATGCACAACAACTATCCATGTATGCTTCCTTGCTAATTCATGGAGAAAATACATGAGATACTTTTCAGACCATAAATCTAAATATTTAAATATTTTATGATTGGGGAAAAATGTGATATTGAAAGTTATCCATGTATGGGTGTGTGTGTTTTTTTTTTTTTTTAAGATTTATCTATTTGCAAGTCAGAATCACAGAAATAAAGAGGAAGAGACAGAGAGAGAGAGAGAGAGAGAGAGAGAGAGACCTTCCAGCTGCTGGTTCACTCCCCAAATGGCCACAACAGCCAGTGCTGAGGCAGGTCGAAGTCAGGAGCTTTATCCTAGTCTCCCACATGGGTACAGGGGCCCAAGCACTAGGACTATCCTCCACAGCTTTCCCAGGAAAATTAGCAGGGATCTGGCTGGGAAGTGGAGCAGCTGGGACCAGAACCAGCACCCATATGGGATGCTGGCCTCCCTGGCAACAGCTTCACCCACTACAACATAAAGCAGCCCCATATGGGTGTTTTTCTATGCCCAAATCCAGTTTTTCGTCTTTAGCTATGGCCAGCATTCCTTCCAATATTAAAAAAAGTTATGAGTTTTGAAAATGATGCTGCCATATTTGGTATCAGTGCATAAATGCAATAAAAAATTGTAGAAGTATAAAAGATGTAGCTGGGACAGGCATTTAGCCTCGTGATTGAGTTGCCCATGAAGCTGCCCATGTTCCATATAGAAGTACATAGGGTTGATTCCCAGCTTCAGCTCCTAAGTCTAGATTCCTGCTAAAGCAAATCCTGGAAGACAGTGGTGATGGCTCAAGTAATTGCTCCCTGCCACCCACATGGCAAACCAGGGTTAAGTTCCCTGTTCCTGGTTTTAGCCTAACCGGTCGCTGGCATAGTAGCCATTTGGGGAATGAACCAGCAGATGGGAGCTGCCTTTCTGTCTGTCTCTCTTTCTCTGTTTCTGTTTTTGTCTCTCCTGCCCCATCTCTGCCTTTCTACCTCTGAAATTAAAAAAAAAAAAAATTTAAACATGTCTGTGGTGGAGCTGGCATTGTGGCGTAGCAGGCTGGGTCAATGGCACCAGCATCCCATATGGACACTGGTTCCATTCTCAGCTGTTCCACTTCTAATCCATACTCAGGATAATGCACCTGAGAGGGCAACAGAGGATGACCCGAGAAAGTGGGCCCCTGCACTCATGTGGAGGACCCTGGTGAAGCTCCTAGCTTCATCCTGACCTGGCCTCGGCCTTTGCAGCCATTTGGGGAGTGAACCAGAAAATGGAGGATCTCTCTCTCTCTCTCTCTCTCTCTCTCTCTCTCTTTTTCTCTCTCTCTGGCTCTCCTTCTCTCTTTGTAACTCTGCCTTTCAAAATAATAAATAATATTTTTTAAAAAAGATGTATGTCTGTGCTTACATATATGTGTGTACTCCTCAACACCTATGACATGGTGAAGTGAGTAGAGTGTCATTAAGCTAATTGATATTTGCTGTCATCACCAGATAATTGGGAATACAAATTGGGGGAAATTCAACTTATTAATTACCATTTTCCTTAGTTTCATTCTGGGGAATCAACTCCAGAAATCAAGCATTGCTGTTTATTGTTCTAAGTATGTTTGTTAAAATTGTTCATCTTTCCTCTTTTAACTCTCCCTTACATTCATTTTATTCTTTTCAAATAAATCATGAAGCCAATTGAATTTTAAATATCTCTAAAGTTCTGCCCACATCAAGGTATTGATACAATGTCTAGGATAAGTGCTCTGAACTTCATTAATCCGTGTTTCTGGCTAGGTGTTTCTATACTAAATGCCACGTGTTGATTAGGAATAATAGGTCAAAAGATTGTCAAAATGTTCCTGGCTTAATAGGCATCCTTCAAATGCAGTTAGATTTACATGGACTTCTCTTCTCAATTCTTTAGTCATAACACGTAAGATGGCAGCAGAATCCACAGCTCAGTGGAAACCCTTATCCATGGAGGGCTGCACAGATTCATTTCAACACCTTGAAATGCATCTGGAACCAAAGATTTCATTTTATGTTGAAGGTGTTAATTATATTTGATATTTTTAAAAGTAAAATCTGTTTTTGAGAAAGCATCTGCTACCCAGAAGCATTATGAGCCACAAAAGAATTTCATGTGAGGCTCAAGATACTTTCTGTGGGTGATAGAATCAGTTTTCAAATGGAGTCCATGCTGTCTTTTAATGCTGACTTGTTCTGATTCTTACTTTTCTATTGCCTATTGGCAAGTATCGCCCTAACCGCCTTTCTGTTTCAGTGGAAAATTGGGAGTATTTAATATCAGATCTTATATTTAGCAATGAAAAGAGTATATTATAAATCACCAGCTTAGACATGTTTCATTTTGTAATTTGCATGGGAAGGGTGCCACTTGGCCCAGCAGTTAAGCTTTGGTTAAGATGCCTACATCCCATATTGCAGTGTCTGGGTTCAAGTCCTACCTCAGCTCCTGACTCCAGCTTCCTACTAATTCGCACCCTGGTAAACAGTGATGGCTCAAGTAATTTGGTTCCTGCCACCCAGGTGGGAGACCTGGATTGAGTTCCCAGATCCTGGCTTTGGCCTCAGCCTAGCCCAGCCCAGCTGTAGTGAGCAGTTGGGGAGTGAATCAGCAGATGGGACTGCTCGTTCTCATGCTACCCCTCTCCCCTCCCCCTACCTCTGAAACAATTTTTTTTCTATTTTTTAATCATAAAAAAGGTAATTGAATTGTAGGACAACTAAGGCTTCTATAATATACCCTCCCTTCCAAGCAATGCATTAAAATTTAACAGAAACATTTAAAACATGCAAGCAATTTTCAGTACTGCTCAAAAGTGGGTGCATGTGTAAGTGAAGTGTGACAAAAATCACCGGAATAAACATCAAATTTATAGTAACAGGTCCAGGGGGTGACGGTGGAAAGAATGGGAAGAGGCACTTTGGCCATGCAATTAAACTGGACTATGATACATAAAGGCGTGTAACTGCTTCTGACTTTATGATGTTTCACATGTCTTAAATGTTGTTATTGGATATACCTTCTCATAGGAGCTGTAAGTACTTCAGGAAACATGCAGTTAGCTTTGCTACCATGCCATTCTTAACATTTCTTTGACTTCTAAAACTATTGACAGACTTGGAAACCATTTCTCTCAGATAGTGACTGAAACTGCTCTCACAGCCAAATGTGCACGAGCTGCCTTTTACTTACCAGGAGGCACAGGTCTCACCTCAACCCTGACACAAATCATGCCATGGAGATGCTCAGACTGGACCATCCATGAGTTCCTTTTCCTTGGTGCTGGTGATCATCATTTCTGACTAATGCCTGTAACATTACAAATAAAAGGTGGAAATTGAGAACTCCCTTGTTAAGGTTAATGAGGAAGACGAAAATGTCAGAGCTGTGTGGAAAAGCACAGTAGCTGTGGGTGCAGCCAAGTGCCTGACCTGCTGTTCTTACTGTCCTCACCTGTCCCCTTCCCTCTTCAAGACAGGTGTGACTTTTGGTCTCTGTCCTTTCATTGCTATCTGTCCCGTGAGAAGGGAGTTGTCCCTAGTATCTTGATGGATATCTTGTCAATACATGTGAGGTGCACGTGGCTTTGGGGACCAAGATCCCCAGCTCACTACGCAGCTGTTTTCGTAAGTTAGCTTTGGAGCTCACTGTCTTCAGGGCCCTCCTACTGTCTGTCATTCCCTGAGAGATTCCTTACTGTCCCCCAAGGCTCCGTGGCAACGTGCATCAACCCTGAGAAGCTCCTAATTGTTTTCAGAACCTGTTGTAAGGAATCGATGCCTGAAAGATTATCTAAAATTTACATTACTCTGCTTTAAGTGATTGTACTTAAATAGAAGACTTCAGGTGGAGTGCTGTCAGATGGGACTCCTAAGAGGAACGTGTCATTGCATAAGTTCCCCTAGCAATGTGATGTGCTTTACATTTGAAAATTTCATATTTCCAACATCATTTCATTTTTCATGAGTTGGCATATGTTATGGGGTAAAAAATACTTTTTAGAAGCCTTTCCCTATATGGGATGTAATCATTGTTACCAACGTGCCTTTCAGGAAGCACCAAGTTGAGTGTGCATGACCCAGTTCCCTTCCATTGCTTCGCCACGCTAGAGAGCGAAAGCTAGCAGGGGGATTGCTTTGTGGCCAGCATTGTTGATGTTAAAAGTGACATGAGAGACCATTTACTCCGTCGATATTTTAACAGTGCTTATCACTGCTGTTATTCCATCTAGGGAAGCATCAGTCTCTACATCCCTCCCACCACAGGCCCCTGCACTCCCTGTGGTCTCCATTCTGCTGCAGTCAAACATTTAGGTGACATCCCTGGCCCTCCAGTTAAGCCTTGAATTTTGTAGCGTCTCTGCTTTAGATGTACGGAAATGGAGTGTCCAAGGAAAAGTTACTTTCATGGGTCTCATGGCGATAGAGGCAGGTTTAGAACTCAGATTTTCTAGGGGTCTTTTCATAGGCTGTAGTCAATTTCATTGGTCAAGACTAGCCCTTAAAAAGGAAACATCGTCCTCTCCATCTTTTTTCCTCTCTTCCATCCTTCTGCCTCCCACTATCAGAAGAAACACAGATAAATAAAATGCTAATACCTTACTGTAGATCTATTTCATGTTACACCTGGCTGTAATTGTGTTCTAGATGATCAAAAAAGAGGAATGCAAAAGAATTAATTTCTCATGCTAAAATTTCTGGCCCTAAGACACCTGTGAAATGTCCCAACAACTGACTCTTCTCTGCTGCCTTTCAGATCATACAAAGGTGAAGCTGCTCCTACTTGTGGGTATGAGGCAGCCTCCTCAGCCTCACCCAGGGCAAAGGGCCCAAAGCAGAGGGAGCACAGGGAACATGTGGCGGCGGCAGCACCTTTAATTGTGCAGCTTCTTCTCGTCCCAAATAAGATAAACCAGAAATTACATCCTGAAACTTATTTCCCCAGAAAGAAAAGGAAGGGGAGGGAGAACTTTAAAAGGAGATGCTTCTAATATGGTATTAGACTGTAATTCATAGGGAAATTTATGCCTGAGATATGAATTTCTGAAAATAGAGGGTTTTTTAAAAGGGAAACACTGACACATCCTTAATTATAGAGTAATAAATACCAATGGTATATTATCTTCCGATATTTCCTTACACAGATACCAAAGCATGCAGCTGTTTTTGAAAACTGATAATCAAGTACAATATAAGTCTATTACATCTTGCACTTACAACACACCCTCCAACTAAGCAGCATCATGGAGCACTTATAGTGAGAAGCAGGGCTGCTTGGAGTTAGAAACTTAACTGAACAAATTAGCTTAGAATCGTAACTTAAGAATCGTAGTCAAACCAAAATGCCTGTCCTTGCCAGGAAAGGCATTCCAAAGGCACCGAGCCTGCCAAGTACAAAGCCTTTGCTTCAGGATGATGGAGGCAGTTCTGGAAAGCCAGCATAACTTAATGATCAATCAGGAAAATGTACAGCAGGATCTACACAACTGCAGGATGCATAAAACTGGTACAAAGCATTAATAGTGGAATGAGAGGTAGAATGGGGTTTTACCAGAAAATGTGTAGCTCTGAGGAAGCTCCCTGTATTGCTTTCAATCCAGGCAGCAGAAACGCAAAGAGAGAAACATGGTCAAAGAAAAGTATGTGGACAAATGTGGGGGGTAGAAAAGGAAATGAAGGTTAAACAAGGCCAATATGATTCAGAATAAAAGGGAGGGCGGGAAGTTTAAGGAGCCAGCTGCAATTACTAACTGTTACATTAAGAAGGGCTGAAATGGAGTGCAGGAGGGCTGGGCATTTTACGCAGTGGATTAATGTCCTCTTCCTTGGGTGTCTGAAGTTGTGGATTTTAATTTATTTGGTGCAGGGATTGTGAAATGTTTAATGGATGGGGGGGCTAAATAGGGGCAATTATAAACAGAGTAGAAAAGAGGAACATATGAAACATTGTATAGCGTTCATTAGAATCAATAGGGTTTGCAGCTATGGACAAAGGTCACTAGTCAAAAAAAAATTAAGTCCATGATAATAGAATTTAGAGGAGGTATATCCAAAAATCAATCAAAAAGACCAAAAAACAAAACAAAATACATAGATGTGTGAGGCCAAGGATTTTGAATGTCTTAGGACCTAGTTTTATGGCCATTCTCCTTTCTCCACCCATTTAAAAAATAAATCATAACTCTGGCATTTAGAAACCTAGTCATTCTGAACATCATTTATTAATATAAACTTAATTCTGTGCTGTCCTTTGGTGGGTGGTAAGAACATGAACTAACAACAACTGGCCTAAAACAACAACAGGGCAGTCCACTCAAGCACAGGAAAGCTATGAGAAAAGAAAAACTTCCTAATTTGCTCTTTCACCTTATTTATTTTACTGAAGGATGAAGCCAAAGTGGAGAGGGTGTGGTTACATCACAGAAGGACCAAATGCCTTCAAGGAGATTTTTTTAAGCTTCCCTAAATTTGTATCAGGAGGACGATGGGAATTGAAACCTTGTGTGATTTACATCATTTTGTTAATCTGCTGATTTTCTTCCCGGGAAGGTGGGAGAGAAGGAAAGCTCTCTGCTTTCTACAATTGCAGACACTAGGGCAGAAACTTAATCGAGTTCTTATTCCCTGAGTGTACCTTGGTTGTCATCTGGCTGGCAGCCAGTCCACAGATGTATTGGTTCAGGCATTTGCCTGGCCAATATTGTTAGGAATCATTTAAATTGGAAATATGCATCAGAAGGTATTTAAGAATTACTGATATGCAGCTATTAATCTTGAATGCAAATAGTATTATTTGGGGTGTGGACAAATCACTTAACTGGAACCACATGAAAAAGCACTTTGAAAAAAAAAAACATTTTTGCAGGCTGTTGGGGAAATGGCATTGGTGAACAGAAATACAATTGCCAAGTGGAAAAACCTACTCTTCAAAGACGCAGCCTGCTGCAGCAACTAGGCAGCGTGGCCTTGCTGCCTTCAACCTGCCGCACCACTGTACCAGCTGAAAGCAAACCCGTTGCTAACAAAGAGACCAACGGGTCTATTTCTAAAGCTGATCCAGCTCCAAGAGGGAGAGCACGCAGATGGGTGCCGTGGGGTGGCTGAGGGTGATCCTCAAAGGTCACCAGCTGTGTAACTTCAGTGTGAGAGGAGAAGGTGCAGCCCTCGAGGTGTGTAATGGTCACAAGTGGCTTCGGAGGCCCAGCAGTTCTCCATTCAGGACATCACGGGGAGGGGGGTTGAGCCATATCTGAAATCTCAGGGACAGGGTGGAGACTGTTTTGTGATCATGATTAATTAAAAAGGAGGAATCAAAGCAGACAGCTCTCCTGTTTCCAGTTGAGCTGCAGAGCCACGGAGAGGAACGTGTGTGCTCTCTGGTGCTTGCAGCTATGTTCCCTGGCTTTCAATCGCCTTGGCTTTTCCCCTGTATTTCTAATGCTGTGATATCGGGCCAATAAAATGGAATCTACAAAATTGCAAAAGTGTGTGTGTGTGTGTGTGTGTTTCACTGAAGATAATGAATTGCAACACTTTAAGCACCAAATTTTTAAAACTTAAAAATGTATGAGTAATGAAGTTTTTAAAGAAGCAAACTGTGCTGGAGAGGAGTATTTATAGCCCCTTTTTTCTAAGAGGTTCCCCAGACCTCTGAGTGCATCAGCAAACTGTCCTCCTACACCGTGGAGCGTGCAGCTGCGATCTGGCCTGGGGCACCACCTACCCAGAGTCACTACCTAATGCATTTTACATTTGCACACATTATTGGGGGGCTGGGGGAGGCCTTTTTCCCCCTTAGCACTCAGTGTTTCCTTTTGTCGCGGCTGACACATGGAAAATGTGGTGTACGATTTTGTTTGCCTTTAATCTGTAATTAAAGATTCCTTGTCTGGGGCTTGCTACCACTTTTCTCCTTCCTTCCCTGCCTCTCGGGGAATTCGCCCTTCTCGGGTCCGGCCCTGTGCGCTGCAGGCTAGGGGCTCCGGGGCTCCTGGCCCGGCCGCTGGCAGTAGGCAAGCGGTGGGAACAGAGAGCGCGCGCGCCCGGACACCGCGGTCACCGCTGTCCCGCGTCCCAGTCCAGTGCACATCTGCGCCGGGGCAGCTGCCGCCACGTCGCCCGGAGCGGCCAGGGCCGCCCCCGCGGGCACCCGGGCGTCGGGGGCCACCGCGGCAGCTCAGTGCGCGTCCGCTGCTGGCGCGCCCTGGCGACCCGCGAGCCCGAGCGCCAGGCTTCCTTGGAGCCCGCTCTGGACACCGGGTTCAGTCCGATCCAAACCGAATGAACGGAGGTCGGAGGGACCTCTCTTGCCTTTGCGGTCCAGAAGTTGTAAGCAACCCCTGTCGGCGACGATGGTCGCTGCGAGAAAGCCAGGAGCCCGGGAAGCCCGGGAGCGCGAGGAATTCGTCCAAGGGCGCGGGCACAGCGAGCCCCCGGGGCGGCGGCGGCAGCGGGGGCCGCGCTCACACCCGCGCGGATTCCCCCGCACACCCGCACTGGCGCGAGCACAAGGGCGCTCACTGGCACGCACGCACATTGGCAACGCACCCCGGCACGCGCGCCCCCAGGAGCAGGCTGACACCCGCACCCAGGGCGGCGGGCCGCTTCTGCCCTTGGCCATTTGTGCGGGGGCTGGCGTTTGCCCCATCGGGCAGGAAGTGCAGCCCTGGCTGGGCAAAACCCTTTCCTCCACGCCTGAACATTTTAAGGAACTCAGTTCCTGGAGTGGGCTAGGTTCAGTCCTCAGGGAGTGAACAGGACCGTGAAGGTGAACTCAGCAAAACCAGAAATACTGATTCCTATTTCTTCCTTCACCCCCCCCCATGCCCACCCTCTCCCTTGTTTTATTATTTGACTGAAGGAAACCCGAGATGGACGTGGAAATGGGCACGGAGACTCAACAGGCAGAGATTCTGGCTGTGCGTTTTGAAATCTCCTCTCTGACTCTGGTGTTTTTCAGACGTGGGTTTAAATCCCACCGCACCCCGACCGCCGTCTTTTCCACCTCACACCTGTACTTTGAGTAACGTTTGTTTCTCTGCCTCACCACCCACTGGTATTTAGGAAGAGTAAGGTATTTGGAGCAGGAAAACACCGAGAAGCTACACATTCACTTATCACTCATTTGCTCTAAATGTTTTTGTTTGTTTTTTAAAGAACTTGGGAATGTGTTAAATATTTTAAAGCTTCTAGGTTTTAAAAGGGTTCTCCCACACCAGCATTATTATTTATTGCTAGCATTTATCTGCATATACGCATTTAGAACGGTGGATATTGGAGGGGAAAATGCTCCTAGTTCGTAATTTCAACGGTGCTGTTTTGCTTTCTAACCTTAGAGATTGTTGTCTAATCCACCACACACACACACACCCCTCCCCGCCCCGCTTTCTCGCCAGTAGAGATTGCAAAAGCAGTGCACATTAGTGACTGGCCCTGAGGAACGGTAGTCGGCATCCATTGGTCAAGATAGTCCTCCTTCGGCTTGAATTTTTTCTCAAACAGGTTTAAAGGTAATGGTTGGTTGCTAAGTAAAAAGCAGAGAGGAGCAGTCCGGGGTAGCTGGAGGATGGGAGAGGAGCGTCCACACCAGCTTACCCTTGGAAGACTGAACAAGAAGACATGGGAAGTGCAGTTGGAAGAGACAGTCTGTAAACAATGATAATCAGGGCTTTCGAAAATCATAAAACGGATTGAAATATCTGATTCATTATTTATTCATCACAGCACAACTTTGCAAATCTGAGAACAGTGTTTGGAAACCAAGTGGCTTCTATTTTGTACATCAAATCAGCAGATGGCTCTGCCTTCCAACCTGCGGTTAAAGGGTTAAAGCTATAATTTTAGAAAAGAATCTCAGGAAATGGCATTAAGATCTGATATATTTTCTTTTCTTTCTGGCAATACTATCCCCCAAAGGGGGGAAAAATAGTTATCGATATCACGATAATGCTTCTCATTCTGAGTACAAGTGTCAGACTGATTCTCGTTTGTATAAGTGTTTTTAAAACTGCGAGGACACTTTCACTACTATGAAAGCTGATGAGCCAATGAAGGGGAACTTCTTTTAACTCCATAATAGCAGGTTACATAGTAAATGAACACTGATGGTCAAATAGCCAATTATGGTATAAATATCCGTTGTTTACAGAGAGGTGTTAAATGAGCCTTTGGAGTACAAAGGATTAGGCCCATCTAAGCTACAATTTGTTCTTCAACCCATTATGTCTTCCCTTAAAAAGGCCAGTGTCATTGTAGGTAATATGCACACAGAACATACTTCTCTATGTTGATTTTAGTTTGCTTTATTTCAATGCACACTGTTGTTTACTTTTTAAAATTTAAATAAATGTCAGCATTGTATAATTTCTATGTTAACAAAGCAGTGAGCAAAATCCCTTGTATGTTTATAAAATATTATTGTTTAATTCACATAGTTTAGAAATTCCAAATGTTGAGAATAGGAAGGAGGCCAAATACCATCTGTTTATAACTATGATGCATCGTAATATGTGTACTTTTAAAAGGAGTTTGGTCAATCATGCCACTATTTTATCTGCTCAGAATATGTTGAAGATTTAAAATGTAATTTACAGGATTACTTTTAGTGCGTTGCATCCAACTGTGAGTTGTAAAGAAATCGGTCTCTTCTGTTTTTCTCAAATTAATCTTGTAACAGGCCCAATTAATGGGGGCTGTTAAACGTGTCGCTTTTTGCTTAGCTCCGGAATTCTTCTAACTTTGGCTCAGTCCACCTTCTTGATACTGATAAAGACTCCAAGGACAAATGAAACAAAACACTCCTAGCTGTGTCTTTCTGCCAGGAGATAGTCACTTAGAATGGGAGGCAGGGTATGGTAGCTAATAATTAGCTAACATCAGCCCTGAGAAATTACCTGTGAGCTATCCTTTGGTACTGGGTGGAAAAACAGCATTTGAACCTCCCTGTTTTAAAATAGTACACTCTTGTCCCTGAGACTTCTGATTTAACTTATCTTTTATTTCAAATGCATCTAATTGCACACCATGTAACAATGGGATTGTACTTGCAGTAAATGAGCAAGTTAGACTCTCAAATTATTTAGTTAGGAACCCTGCCTTTACAAACTTGAGGCTCTCAGCAACCTTGATTTCAGTTTTAAGTCTTGAAGTCCACAGATTGGCATTAGGGTCTCTCAGCATGAGGTCTCTTTATCAAGAAGGAGGAACCAAGATGAACTCAGATGTCCTATAGAGGTTCAGAAAAGGTGGGGGTAAAAAAAACATCTACCAGCAAACAATGACTGCCTGATTGATTTTTAGAAAGGTAGAATCGGTGAAAAGCTACATCTTAAAATACTTCTATAGGCTAAACAAACCTCCAATAAACTGGGTGTGTTCTGAATGTTTTATTTTACAGCTGAGTGTTCAATTAAAAAAAATGGTGCTATATAAAGTGTTTTTGATACTTTATAGCAAGATCTTTTTCCTCAAACATTTTAGTTTTAGCAGCTTCATCTAAAATTGTATCAACTCTGATCATTTACTTACTCATAGTTAAAAACATTAAAAGTAAATTATCCAAGTAAACAAACTAGAATATATATATATATATAATTGTTTTTCAATTTAAGTGATACATTTTAAAAATCTGTTCATCTTCTGGCCATTTTTGATCTCTGAAATGAATCCATTGGGTCTTTATGTTATAGAGATATGTTCAGGCTTAGTTTCCTTTAAACTAAAGTAAGAAGATGACAGATTCCTGAGAGATATGGAGAAAAGAAATTAGAGATAGTGGAGGTGGAAAGAGGTAAGCGAGGCAGAAGACACAACTGGGATAAAAGAGGATTAACAAACTTCTCAAAAATGCTCCGAGTATATAAGGCGTAAGCACAGCAGTCATGACCATTTTGAAATAATGCTGATTGTTGCATTCCGGTATTAAACAACAAAGGGAAATAAGTGGGCCTCTTTGATATATGTGAACCAGTTTTCCTACTCAACTCCAACATTTCTTAATTTTTTAATTTATTCATTACTTTTGAAAGGCAGAGGATTAGAGAGAGAGAGAATCTCCCATCTGCTGGTTTACTCCTCCAGTGCCCACAACAGCTGGGGCTGGAACAAACAGAAGCCAGGAATGGGGAGCTCAATCAGGATCTCCCCACGTAAGTGACAGGGACTCAACTTCTTCAGCCATCACTGCACTTCCCAGGATGCACATCAGCAGGAAGCTGGAATCAGGAGTTCAGGTGGGACTCCAACACAGTCAAACACAGAAAAAGCCAATTTGGAATGCAAGTCTCCAAGTGGTGCTCCAACTGCTGTGCCAAATGCCTGTCCCAAGCCCAGCGTTCGTTAATGAAGCATGTATTAGATACCCATATTCTTAATATAGGAGGAAAAGAGGAAGAAGCATTCTCTGTTTTAAAGTCTTTACAGTTTAGACATAAGCCTTACATACATAAAATGACTGTGTATAGTGTACTGGTACATGT